CTCCTCCCCCGGGATTCTAGACACCCCCTCCCGCGGAACCTGGGACCTTCCCTGACCCCAGACCTGCCCCCAACCCCAGACCTGAGGTGGCCCCAGAGGGCCCCCCCACCTTGGATCCATCGCTGATATCTCCCTCCTTGCAGGGGCCCGAGCTGGAGGAGGGAAGGGTCAGCAGCTGGCGGGGGCCAGAATGGAGCTGGAGGAAGGGGACAGGCTCTTGTCCGCCTCCTCGGACGGAGACCGGAGAGAAGAAAAGAGTCAGTATTGTGCTTGGCCCCACCTGTCCTGCCAGCTGCCCCCTGGGGGGCCCAGTGGTTCAGACCCGTGTTTCTTGAGTGGGGCCGTGTGTGTGTGTGTGTGTGTGGGGGGGGGGGTCAGGCGTCAGGCGTCCTGGGTCCTTCATTCTGTTCTAGTGATCTGCTGCCCGCCCGTATTCCCTGCTACCCTGTTTCAATTCCTGTCACTTTATAATAAGGCTTAATATTTTGTGGTATAAGTCTCCTGACTTCATTCTTCAAGATGTTTTGGTTTTCTCGGACTTTTACATTGCCACGTAAAATGTTAGCGCCCAATTGTTGATTTACACACAAATCCTGCTGGGATTTTAATTGCGATAACCTTGACTCTGTAGATCAACTTGGGTGAGAATTAACATCATGACCATATTGAATCTTCTAACCCATGAACAGTGTACAACGTGAGACCTCTTTGGTGAGATTTACTCCAAGACATCTGATGTGTTTTTAATGCTGTTGACATTTTGAGTTTCATATTCTCATTTTTTTTTTTTTGGTACAGAGAAATACAGTGGATTTCAGTTAACTGACTAGATATTTGGTGACTGCCAAACACAACAATTCTAATAGCATGTCGATTCATTTAGATTTGTTATGTGCACAGCCATTTGCAAATTTTCTGTCCTTCCACATTTTATTTCTTTTACTTGCTTCGTTGCATTGGCTAGCTCTTCCACTTTAAATGTTGAGTACAAGTGGGATAGTGGAATCTTTTTTCTGTTTGTTCCCAAACTCAGGGAAAGTGCTCAGTGTTTCATCGTGAAGTATAATGTTGCTCTAAGCTTTATAGGAGGTTCCCCTTTATTCCTGGTTTCCTGAGAGTTTTTAAGTGCATAGTTATTACATTTTATCACATGCTTTTCTCTGCATCTATTGAAATGATAGTGTATATTTTCCCTTTAGTCTATTATTGTGGTGGATTATGTTGATAGATTTTCAAATATTACACCAATTTCATATTTCTGGAATAAACCCCATATGGCCATGGTGTATTATATATATGTCACAGGATTTGATTTACAAATTTTTGTTCAAGATTTTTATGTCTATTTTTATGAGTGAGATTGGCCTGTACTATTTATTCCCTTTTTGTAATGTTCTTGACAAGTTTGGGTATTAAATTTATGGCCTCATAAAAAGAGTTGAAAAGAGTATGTTTTTCCTAGTCAATGAAAGGGTTTATATAAGGTGTTTTGTTTTGTTTTTGCTTGAATATTTGGAAAGATGGACCTGTGATGCCATCTAGACTTGGAGTTTTCATTATGGAAACATTTTAATTGTGGAGTTAATTTCTTTAACAGAAATAGAGCTATCCAGGTTTTCTGTTTATTTTGTGTCAGTTTTGATAAGCTGTGTCTTTACTGTGAAACTACTGGCATGTGGATATTCATAATATCTTATAATTTTAATAGTATTTGTACAGTCACGGTGTCCCTGTTTTCATTCTTGATATTGGTGATTCATGCTTTCTCTTTTTTCTTGATCAGCCCATTTAGAGGTTTTTCAATTTAAAACATGTTTCAAAAGTCCAACGTTTGGTTTTGTTAATTTTGTTTATAGTACATTTGTTTTTTATTTAATTGAATTCTGTTCTTCTCTTTATTATTTCCTGTCTTCTACTTTCCTTTTGTTTAATTGTCGTTCTCTTTCTAGCCTTTTGGATCATAGCATAGATAATTTTTATTTGTTTTCTTTTTTAATATATGCTTTTAAAATGTATAAAATTGCCTCTAATCACTATTTTAGCTGCATTATAATGCTTTAATATGTCATGTTTTTATTATCATTTAATTCACATCCTTTTAAATGTTCTACCTGATTTCTCCTTTAATCCATGTTTTGTTTTTAAAGTGTGTTGCTTAATTTTTGAACGTTTAGGAAAATTTCTAGTCACCTTTTTGTTATTAACTTATAGCTTGCTTTGACAGTTGTCAGAGAATTTAATCCGTATTATTTCACTCCTTGGAAGCTGGTTGAGACTCTGTGCCCAGCATGTGATCTATGCTGGGAGATGAGCGTATGAAGAAAATGGGTCTTAAACTGTGGGACCTGGGGCTGCGTCCGTCCATTGTTCGTGATTTTTTGTTTCATCTTTCGTTTACTGACACAAGTAGGTTAAAGTATCTCACTCTGACTGTGGGTTTCCTATGTCTTTTTATTTTTTTAATCTCTGTCAACTTGTGTTTTCATATATATTGGAACTATGTTATTAAGTAAATACACATTTGAAAATTTTGTATCTTCCTGACAAATTTGTATGTATAACATAATGAAATGTCTCTCTTTTGGCTTTATTAATTATTTTATTACATTTTTATTAATACTTTCTAAGTAAATATTATCATGTGTCTAAATACTTATGATGTATCTCTAAAATTGACATTTTCTTATATAACCATTTTTAATATAGCATTTTTTGACACTCAATAAAATTAACAATAGTTCCTTAATAAAGCCCCAGAATATATTCATATGTCCCCAGTAGCTCCCCAAATAAGTGTAGAGTTGGTTGTTCAAATCGGAGTCTGGTTAAGGGGCCACACACTGCAGTCCAGAATAAACAGCCCTGTGGGTTTATGTTTTCAAGATGGGATCTTGTCGATGGACAGCCTCTCGTTCTGTGGGCAGCTCCACCTGTGGGATTTGTCTGATTGTGGCCTCACGGTGGCATGTAAGTTGTTCTTTCCCCTTGAATCGGAGGTGAGCGGAGAGGCCTGATGGGATTTGGGCTAAATGTTTGGCCAAGTGGCCTGCAGGGTCTGTGCACCTGGTTCTGCCCACCGTGTCATCTGTCCCGTCATCAGTGCTACGACTGGTCAGTGGGTCAGTGCGGGCCAGAGCCCTCCGATGGAGACTGGTGTTTGCGATGGCTGCTCGGAAAGGTGGTGCCCTGGCACCTGGTAGCTGTCACGTCCCCTGCTGTGGTGGGTCCCTGGAGGGTCCCTCTGAGATGGGGTTGGGGGCAGGAGGTTGGCTGAAGAGAACTGAGGAACAGTGTCTTCGGGGTTGTGAAGAAGCCGGGCCCGGGCAGGGGAGGAGAACTGCTGTGTGGCCACCATCACGGCCGCACTGACCCCATGGACAGCTCTGGCACGACCACCACAGTGCCCATTCCCTCCCAGGGTTCAGCTGCCCCTTTGGAATGGCTGTTTCTCCCACACCGACTAGCTGGTCAGCTGCACTCTGGAAGAGCTCCCTCTCCCGAAGGCCTCCTCAGACCCTTTCGGAAGGCCTGCTGGGTGCGTCCTTCCATCCCCCACTTGTGGGTTTCCAGGGATGGTGCTGGCATGCCAGGCGTCTCCTATGGCCTCAGGCAAGGTTTCCTTTTGTGTGGCTTTCTCCTTTTTTCTGGGTGTTGGACTGTGTACAGTCAGTCACTTTTGTATTTTGTGATACTCAGTGATCTCTACTTGACCCTCAAAGCCTCTTCAAGTTGCTTCTGAATCGTTTTGCTGTGCCCCTAGTTTATAATTGCCCCCAAGAATGTCCCCAAGTTGCCCTGAGATCACCCAGGGCCTTCGATGTCCCAGATCAGCAACCCCAGTGCTGGGCGGTGGGGGGGGGGTAGGAATCAAAATCTGGGTGCTGGGGGAGTCATTGGCAACTGTTTAAGTTCTAGTTCAGCCCGAGTGGAGAGGGGTGTTTATTCAGATGTGTGTGTATCTGTGGAGATGGCGTTTCTGATTTTTCTTGAATCTCTTAATGTTGTGAATTACAATGCCTTGAATAATAGCCCAGTGTGGCTGAGGGGGTGGCCTTCGTGAGGTCGCGGGCGTCTCTGCATCACTGGGGGCCGTGTGCTCGCCTCTGTGTGTGATTTTGTCCTCAGCGTGTGTCACATGGGCCTGTGAACTTACTTTCTCGTAACTTGCCGGTCTCTTAAAACAAGTTAGGGGTGGTCCCACCTTTCCTACCCTCAGAAGGACCTGTGCCCGAGGAAATGTGTGGTCGTGTTCCCCCGAAGCTGTCCGTGTTCCTTCTGGAAGGCTTTGAAACAGATTTATTTCCTGCATTCTGTAGAGGGTAATACCCATTTTCTATGTCTTCTCGTGTCAGTCTCAGTAACCTGTATTTCTCTGGGAATTTGTCCTGTGACAGGTTCATAAGCAGCCAAAGCAAAACCAGTGTGTCCCTGGAGTGGTAGTTGGTAAAAAAAACCAAAACACCAAAAAGACAGTTTGCAAACCGGGACACTCACACCAGAACTTGGAATGGGGCTCAAAGGGGTGACCAACGCAGGCAGCTTTGGGACCTTTTAAACAAAGAAACAGTTATTTGTGAGGAATTGCCCCTTGGGGGAGCAAGTCAGTGAACCTCTGGGCTTTCTCTGGAGCAGGGAGGGCACCTTTCCCCCTCCTTTCCTGTGGGAGGTTTACTTCCTGCTTTGAGAGGGCAGTGGGGTCATTGTGTCCTTGCACCCCAGTTTCTTCAGTAGCTTTAATCCATAATGATCAACACACAACACGGCGTATTTGGACAGCCTGCTCTGGAACCCGTCGTTATTCCCACAGAGTCAGCTGGGTTGATTCTGTGTTTGTTTGTTTGTTTGTTTTTTAAAGATTTTAGATTTTATTGGGGAATTGGGGAAGGGGAACAGCCAAGTTGTCCTTTAATCTTAGTTGTGGAGGGCACAACAAGCTCAGCTTCAAGTCCAGTCGCCATCCGAGCCACTCAGCTCAAGGTGCCGTGTTCAATCTTAGCTGCGGATGGGTGTAGCCCACCATCCCATGCTGGAGTCGAACCGGCAACCTTGTTCTTAGGAGCACATGCTCTCACCAGCTGAGCCATCCTGCCACCTGTTGGCAGCTCAGCGGCAGCTCAGCTCGGGTGCAGCTCACTGGCCCATGTGGGAATCGAACCGGCGACCCTGTTGCTCAGAGCTCACGCTCTTAACCAACTGAGCCACTCGGCCGGCCCCGAAGGTTGATTCTGTTTGTGTGACTCACCAGGTTTGGTCCACTCGGGGAACGTTCAAGGCCGGTCTCCATTTGTCCTTGACGCCTGTTTCTTCTAAATTTCTAATTTATTGCCATAAAGTTCATCATATCCTCTTAGTTTTTAACCATTTAAGGGGTTTTCCTGTTTTATTTTTACTTTTTTATACCTTTTCTCTTTTTTATTGGTTGGTCTCATCAATCGTTTATTGATATTATCTGCCTTGAGCCTTTGGCTTAAGGTTTATCAAATTTTTATCGCATTTTTAAAAATATCTCATTAATGTGTCCTCTTTATTCATTTTCTTGGGCTTAAGTGAACTGTGTTCTTTGCAGGGTCTTGCGATGTGTGTAACTCAGTGTTTTTACCCTGATTATTTTGTAAAAAATGCATGGGCAGCTAAAAATCTCTTTGTAAAACACAACTTTAGGTCTGGCCCACGAGAGCTGACTTTCGACATTTTAGTTGAGAAATGTGCGCTGCTGTTGGGTGCTGCCCTCCACGGCCCAAGGGTCACTAGGAGTGTGCTTGTGGAAGCGCTGGTTGGTTGGCACCTGGTCATCCCTCGCTCAATGGCCCTGTGGTCAGGGACACAATCTCGAGGGTCAATTCTAATGAACATCCCCGTGTGCTGGAGGTCACGTGAGGGCACTGTGTGTGGGGGTGAAGCTCGGACACTCGTGTAGGTCTTTGTCCTCGTGGCTCTTTGGTCGCTGGTCCCAGCGGTCACCGAGAGCAGAGTTGCACCGCCTTGTCGTACCCACCGGGCTTTGCCCGCTCTAAGGTGACTCTGTTGGACGTTTGCATCTGCGCGGTTTCTTCCTGCACCTCCAGCTCCATCGGCATAGATTGGCTCAGATGTCATGTAAGAGGGACCACCGAGCATGCCCCTCTGTGTCAGATGTGCAAACTGTGACCACTTTTTCCCAGTCTGTGGCCTTTTCATTTCCTTAAGAGAGCAGACACTTTAATTTTGATAAAGTCTAGTTGGGCAATTTTAACTGTCATGGTCAGTGCGTCTCAGAAACGTTGTCCTGACCCGGGGCTGTGAAACAGGCGCCCGCGCTTTCTCCTGGGAGCTTTGTGCCTCTAGATGTCACACGCAGGCCTGTGACCCACTCCAGGTTAATTGTTGTGTGTGGTGTCCAGTGGGGCTGTAGTTCGCTTTCTCTGTGGGGGCATGCAATGGCACTGGCTTGAATTTGTCTGTTGGCCATGTGGACGTGGGGCTCTGGGATCCACAGAGGAGGAAGCCACGGGACTAGCAGAGGCGGGGTGTCTGCTGCTGGCCTGTCCCACGTGCGATGCACCTTGGGTCCAGGGGGCGTCGGGAGGTTGGGTGGTCTGGGCGCAGTGGGATTTAAAGCCACCACATGTGATGATATGGCCTGGGGAGCGGGCACGGACCAAGCATGGAGGTGTGGGGTCAGGCCTGGGCATGGGGAGGGAAAAAGGGCCACAGTGAGGAGGGGACAGCGGGGGTCCAGAGGGGGAGGGACTGACTGGTGGGGGTGCTGTGCTGCCAGAGGCCGGGACCCAGGGGAGTGACCACGGGACTGGCCTCTGCACGCTCAGTCTTAGTGTGAGCATATCTGGTGGAGCCTGGCAGATGGGGGTTTGGAGAGGGGAGTGTCAGAGTGTGGAGAGGTGCAGGGTGCGGGGCGGGGGGGAGGGGAGTTCGTTTTAATTTTGAAAGTGGTCGCTATGAAATTTGGTGGCATCTGGTGGCCGGGGTCAGAGAAGAGCTGAGAGGGGGCTGGTGGAAGGGAGGCTGGCAGAGGTAGAGGGTGAGGGGGTGCATCGTGTGGCATCGTGTGGGAGCTCAGCGAGGAGAGAGGGTGCCCCAAGGCCGAGCTGCCGGGGAGCGTGGGCAGGGGATTGCAGCCTGGGGAGGAGGCTGGGGAGATGGAGGAGGAGAGGCCAGGGGCCAGGGAAGGGGTGCGTTGGGGGCACGGAAGCAGGGTGGGGCTGCACTGGTCAGCCCTTGAAGCAGGAGGACTGAGTGAGAGGGTGACAGTGTGCGGGTGGGGTGCTGGGAGGGGTCTGACTTCTGTTTTTGCCTGTCCATGCACTTTTTACAAAATAATCAGGGTAAAAACACTGAGTTACACACATCGCAAGACCTTGCAAAGAACACAGTTCACTTAAGCCCAAGAAAATGAATAAAGACACATTAATGAGATATTTTTTAAAATGCGATAAAAATTTGATTAACCTTAAGCCAAAGGCCCAAGGCAGATAATATCAATAAACAATTGATGAGACCAACCAATAAAAAAGAGAAAAGGTATAAAAAAGTAAAAATAAAACAGGAAAACCCCTTAAATGGTTAAAAACTAAGAGGATATGATGAACTTTATGGCAATAAATTAGAAATTTAGAAGAAACAGGCGTCAAGGACAAATGGAGACCGGCCTTGAACGTTCCCCGAGTGGACTAAACCTGGTGAGTCACACAAACAGAATCAACCTTCGGGGCTGGCCGAGAGGCTCAGTTGGTTAAGAGCTCGAGCTCTGAGCTACAGAGTCGCCGGTTCGATTCCCACATGGGCCAGTAAGCTGCACCCGAGCTGAGCTGCCAACAGGTGGCAGGATGGCTCAGCTGGTGTCTCCCTGTTAAAAGTACCCATTTGCCTTGATCTCTGTTTCTCTTTTGCAGAATTAAAAGGAGGAATTTCCCAAGACTTGACTTCTGCCCCCAAATTAGACAGATACAAAATAGCAAAGCAACTGACAGAAAAGGCAATCAAGGTACATGCTTGTTGGGCTTGGGAGGCACTTGTTAAAGGTGGAAATGGATTTTGGAATTGGGAGAGTGAGTCACGTCCTCTGAAGCCCCCCCCCCCACCAGCCTGGCCACCACACAGAGGCTGTGCCCGAGTTCCTTTTCCTGTCTGCTGTACGTTTGAGATAGGTAACATTTTCAAAGTTGGGGAAGTGCATACACATACGGTGGAAGCCTCTCCCCCAGGCTCCCACCGTGTGACTCGGGCTCTGGGCGCATCCGGATGAGGTTTCTGGATCACAGACAGACTCTTAGTGACTCATGGAGCTCCTCGTGGCAGTCCCCCGTACCCCAGGCCCCTCCCTGGGGGTGACATGGTGAGAACAGATGCCACCTGTGTGTGGAGAGGGGGCTTGTGCCTCAGGAAAGGAACCCCAAGTTATGACTCTGGGAGCTCAGGAGGCAGCTGGCACCCCTCCCCAGGGAGAGAGCCTTACCTTTCGCCAGAATGTGAGTGTTTGGGTCTGGGAGAGCTAAGGAAGCTGCTAGTACTCTTTAAGTGGGAGCAGATGTCTGCACACCGGCTACTCTGAGCACACTGAGAGTTTTTTCTGGGGAAAGGCTGTATTCTCTGTCTTTCTCGTGCATCAAAGGCCATTGCTCAGAAGGCAGGGACCACAGGAGCCCCACGAAATCCAATGCACATTAGTACACAAACATGTGCGTGAAGCACAACACACACACACACACACACACAGAAAGTGTACAGCTCGGCAATGCACATGGAGAGAGAGGCACAACACATGGCGTCGGTCAGCAGCCTCCGCAGTCGTGACAGAGGACACCGTGTCCCTTGCTTATTTCCTCCCTCCCCCGACCAAATCCTGGCAACCATGGGTGTGCCTTCTGTGATCTCTGTCACTGCCCTTTGTGGGATTTCATATAAATGCAGCCATAGCAGCTCAGTAATTTTCAGATTTTCTTTTGAAACCTGAAAACACACACCCATTTAGGACTACAAATGTGCCTCTAAGTACTGCTTAGCTGCATTTCACAAGCTTCCGTTTGGTGGTATTTCTGCTGAGATGCGGCTGAAAGTATTTTAGAATTCACATTATTACTTCTTCATCAATCATGGGTCCACTTACGAGGATTGTTCTTAATTTCTATAGTTGTGGATCTTGTCTAGTTTGTATTGATCTGTAGCTTGATTGCATTGTGGCCGAGAATGTGATCTGTACGTTATTCTGTTGAGATGTGCTCAGACTTGTTGTATGCCTAGCGTTTTGTTAATTCATGTGAAAGTTGGTGTAGAGTGCGGTCTTCGTAGCCATCAGGGTAGAGTTCGTTGCTTGTGTTGTTCAAGTCTTCTAGTCTTATTGGTTCTTTTTTGTCTGTGTGTTCAGCGTTTACTGAGAGAAGCATGTTATAGATCCTATCATAATGTGGATTTGTCTGCTGTGTAGTTCTTACAGCCTTTTAATAGGAACAGACAAATGTACCTTTACGGTGAATCGCCTCTTTTCTTTAAATGATGAAATGATTTTCTTTTTTTCTCTCTTTATTAATTTCAGGTGTACATGAAATAATTTTCTTTAATGATGTTAACTTCTCCCAAAACCTGCTTTATCTCAGATTTAGATCCTTTTATTTTCTTTTTTAAAGATTTTTTATTGGGGATTTGGTGGATGGGAACAGCGCTGAGGAATTGGGGGAAGGGGAACAGACAAGTTGCTGTCGTTTTGTTCTTCAGTCTAGTTGTGGAGGGCGTTGCTTCACTGGTCCAAGTTGGCATCATCATTGCGCTCTTCCCAGGTGAGGCAGATCAGTCTCCGGCTTCTGGACGGCTGCTCACTGCGGCTGCTGGCCGCTCACGCTGGCTGCTGGCTACACACGGTAGCCCATGGCAACCCACTGCCACAGGGGCTGCAACCTCCGCCACCGCCGGCAACTCACGGCAGCCCAGCTCCAGGTTGAGCTGTTGTTCAGCATCTTAGCTGTGGAGGGCAGTGTCACTGGCCCTCATATGTGGGATCCGAACCAGGGCCCTCTGGGGTCCCAAGCCAGCTCTTAACCATCGTGCCACTCGGCCGGCCTGATCCTTTTATTTTCTACATAGGCTTGTGCTCTTGATTTTCTCTTGTGAAGAGCATAGAGCTGGATTTTAAAAAATGTTTTAACTGGTGCATTTAGTGTGTTTATCTAGTGAAATGGCTGGTATACGCAGATGTCCCCATTTGTCACCATCTACTTTCACTCATTGGGTTTGTCCTGTCTGCTCCATTTCCCTCTCCTTTCATGCCTCTTTATGGACCGATTACTTTTTAAAGTTACATTTGCCCTGTTTCGTGGATTAGAAGTCTCGTACTGTGTTTTTATTCTTTCTGTGATTTCCTTAGGTAATGTGTTCTGCCAACGTATACAATCAATCCATCTTTCTAAAATTGTGCCATTTGACTAGTTTCTGGAGTGCCGGGGCTGCAGGGTGCTGACGCCTTCAGGCCATCCCGCTCCCCGTCCCCCTCACTGCAGCGGCTCTGCTGTGAATCAGGCCTATCCAGTCCCTCTGCCCTGAGGGCGGCCCCACCGGACAACAAGGGCCCCACCGGACAGCAAGGGCAGGCTTTGGGTCCGTGTTCCGAGTGGAAGGAGGCTCGGAGATCCTGTGGCCAGCTGGGTCTTTCGTGGGTGCTGGAACTTGAGCTCACAGCTCACAGCCAAGGTTTGAGGAGGCACGAGTGCTGGCTGTGGGTGCCGATTTCCCAAGAGGGGCTGGCGCTGCGTAGCTGACCGCTGTGGGCTTGTCGGCTTGGACACCCACTTGTTACCTCACAGCCTCTGTGGCTGGGACTCCAGGCCAGGCTCTGTGCCCGGGTTTTCTCCGGGCTAAAGGCAAGCATCATCCAGGCTGGGGCCCCGGGCTCGCCCGGGGCAGGACACACGTCCAGGTTCCTCGTTTGTTGGCAGAATCAACTTCCTTGTGGCCTTGGAAGGCAAAGCACCTTTTTTCACAGACAGCGACGGGGGGAAAGTCCCTGACTCTTTGAGTCCCTAACTCCAGGGGAGCCCTGGACCCCGTTTAAGGGGCTCACCTGATTAGGCCTGGCCCACCTGAGGAGAATATCTTTTTGATTCATTCAAAGTGAACTAATTAGGGACCCCTGTGAGTCTGAGCTGCTCCCCGCTCCTTTCCTCACCTCCTGGCCTGCTCCCACAGCTCATGAGGCCCTAAGCTCACCGTCGACTATGCACCTGTGTACTGCCTGGGTGAGCTCGTCCGAGCTGTGTCCTCAGCACTGTGGGCCCAGCAAGGCTGTCACTCTCCTGCCTTGTCCCTCAGCTGGGAGGGTCTAGCACACGTCACCAGCTGCCACCTCTCTGCCTTGTCCCCAGGCCCCGGCGCTTATTCTCACAGTGGTGGGCAGAGTCCCCACCTCCCCCTGCTGCTGGCTTTGCGCTGTCAGCACCACAGACCCTCTGGCCCTTCCTGGTCAGTGGGATGTCTCCTTCCTCCCCGTCCTCAAACCTCAGGCACCCCACAGCGTGAGGGATCGTACCTTTGTGGGGAAAGGAAGGTCGTAGAGCACATGTCCTCAGGCCCTGTCACCATGTCTCGGGAAGCGCTCTGCCGTTCCTCGTGTGTGTGTGTGTGTGTGTGTGTGTGTGTGTGTGTGATGGTGAGTGTGTGTGATGGTGAGAGTGTGCAAGGCCCCACGAGGAAGTGGGCACACAGTGAGTGGCCTGGGCCACACCTATGTCTCTGGAGTTCCTGGGTGTTTCTCGTGGAGTGGGAGGTGGGTCTTCCCACAGGTCCGTCTGCTTTAAAAACTCCTCTTGCAGAGAGAGAGGGAACTTGCTCTTCAGTTCTTTAATTCAAAGTACTCTCTTCCGTTTGAGGAGAAGAAGATTTTCTCCATCTACGGACACTACCCGGTGGTGCGTGCCGCCCTGCGGAGCAGGGGCTGGGTGGAGAAGAAACTCCCCTTCCTGCCCAAGGCCGCTGCCGGCGCCCAGGACGGATGTGACGGGCGGGCTGGTGGAGTATTGAGGCCTTCGTCTCTCACTGTTAGGCGTCCGTGTGTCTGTCTCAAGGACCCGGAAGGGAGCCGCCATGGCTGGATGCTGTGGCAGCCCCGCTGGCCCTGTGACTTGGGCCGTGCATGTGTTGGGGTCTCCCTCGGCGGGCAGAGGACCCCATGGCCCATGCCAGAGGTTGCCTCCCAGCACCCCCACCCCAGGCATCCACGCAGTGGGCTAGTGCTTTCAAATCCTGGTACTGGTCACTTCTCAGTGTCCATGCCCTGACTGTCCCTCCTCCAGCCCCAGTTTCCCACTGGTCACTGCTTGGCCTCCCACAGTGCCACCTGACCCCCACCTCCCTGGGCACAGAGCATCTGCACCCTCTTGGTTCCGAGTCTGCACAGGGCCAGCTCCCACACAGTCAAGACGCACAGTGACCCCCACTGTCCCCGTCCCCGTGCCCCTCTCCTCCGCCTCACCCCCAGGGCCCCTGGACGGGTAGATGTGGCTCGAGCCTGACACTGCCCTGCTCCACCTCAGGACCCACAAAGGCACCTGGCAACGGGGTTGCCGCTCTGGCCTCTGTGACAGGGACACTGAAGCGCGTGTCTGGGTTAGGCGCAGAGGCAGTGGTGCATTGACGTCTGTTTGTGTGTCATGTTTGCAGAAAGTAAACGTGCCGAAGGCAAAGAAAACCGAGAAGAGGCTTTGGGGAAGACAGAGGACATCCATGATGCGATGGTAGGTCCCTACGTGTGGGTCCCCAGCCACAACCTCGGCACGGCCTCTCACACCTGTGCTGCATCCTGGGGGACGGGTGGCAAAGCCGGAGCCATGCTGGGCGTCTTGACCGGCCACCGCAGAGCCGGGCAAGGGAGTCTGGCAGCCCGGACAACACACTGCAGAACGCGTGCGTGAGTGTCCCTTTGTGCCCACGTTTAAGCCGACAAGCTGTGTCTGTGACCATGGAGTTTCGTGGGAAAGGATCAGAGCAGCCCCAAGGCGCGTGCGGAGCAGGCGGGGCAGCGGGCCTCTCACTTCATGAGGCCACGACAGTGGGGACAGTGTTGTGCGGCTACACACTCGGACCACTGAGCACAATAGAGCCCCTGTCAGCCAAGCTCCCATGACCCTGGTGTCGGCCAGGTGGCAGGTCAGCCGGTAAAGACAGACGGCACAGCCGGTGCCGAGACCCAAGGTGTCCGCACGGGGGTGAAGCGGCCCCTCTGTCCAGGGCTCACACAGGATGTTTTCCTGTCCTATCTCTTTGGCTACAATTTTTGACCAATTGTTCATAAGCACAAAAGCACAGACACCAAGGACACCCCCTTCCAGCTCCAGCCCCACTCCGCAGGCCCCTCGTTCTGGTGGGCCTGGGTTCCCTGCACCGCAGGAGCGGGGAGCATGGAGGAGCTGCCCCCAGGGGTCCGAAAAGGGGTGTTCCCAGGTCAGGAAGCATGGTGTTTGCTCTGAATGCCCTTGGGCTCAGCTCGCCCCACTCACAGCCCCACATCCGGGGCGGCGGGGGGCTCCTCTCAGTGCCCCTATAGCCCAGGGCCTGAAGCCCCCACACTTGCTTCTTGAGAGCCGAAACCCGTGTGGTCACAGCTGCTCCCAGCCCGGGTAGTGGCCCCCAGGACCACACATGGTGGCCGTGAGATGACAGACACACAGAATTCGCGCTCTGCATGTCATTTACAACCTCATCTCCTTTTCTCTCGGCTACACCCCAACTCTCAAAGGATGTGAACCTTACATGCTGGGTACTTATTGATAAAGGTTATTTCTTGCCAGGCCAGGTTGGTAAAAAACGAAATGCCATACTTGCTGTGGACCATCAAAAGGGACATCATCGACTGTCACAGCTTGCATTGCGACCAGATGCTGAATCACTACCGGAAGACAGCTTCCTTTACCACCAAGGTGAGCGGGGGCTGGGCAGGGCAGTGTGGCCGTGCCTCGTCCCTTAAAATGCCAGTGCCCTGTGGCAGGACAGCCAACGTGGACTGGTCACCTTGGGGGCCCTCCCCAGGACAACTCCTGCCACTACCCAGCATCAGTGTCCAGAGTCACTCAGCACCCGCCCCGCCCCCAGACCCCCAGAGTTCCCTGCGCCCCTCACTGTGTCCATGGGTGGCCCTGAGGCCACAGAAGTGCCCTCCTCTGGGCAGACAGGCCAGGCCTAAGGCGGTGGTGGGGACTGCAACGCAGCTCAGGCCAGACTCTGGGGCCTGGAGTGGCTCTGGTCCCGAATTGGGGCGGGCCACCTCACCTGCACCCGACTTCCTGTGGCAGGGCGCAGTGACATGGCGTGTGGCACCCTCACCTCTTTTCAGCCCCACAGCCCCTCCTCGAGGCACTGTCCCACGTTTACCTCGAGGCTCAGGTTCATGGGTGGGGCCAGCCCAGGACAGACGGGCCTACATGTACCCACGTGGGAGAGGTTGGGTAAAGGGGCTTCCCCGGCAACTAGGGGACCATCCCCTCAACAGGCAAGGGTGACATGGGCATCGGGACGAGGCTCACTGCTGCCCTCAGGGCTCCCCGAGAGGGTCTGGCCCCGCAGTGTGTCCTCAAAAGGCTTCGGCCACTGGTGTCCTTCCCAGGGTGGGTGGTCAGGCCAGGCTCCCCACGGAAACCCTGTGTAGAGTGGTCACCAGGGCACTCATCTTCTTTCCAAACGGGGCGAAGGGCTGGACCCTGGGGTGCAGGACTTCCCGCTAGGCCTGTTTAACACTCAGGTCATGTCCACGGGGCCAGAGTGGTGGACGTGTGACTGCTGTAAGCCCCCCAGCTGCTCCCGCCTTCCTGGGCCTGAGCCCAGGCACCATTTAGGGACCTGGGAGGGCAACGCAGCGCCCAGCACCCTCAGACAGCCTCCTGCCCCTCCCTGGGACCTGCCACTGACCAGCAGATAAGCCCAAGGCCCTGGTAGCACGTTGAGCCACACAGCCACTGGGACCCAGCCGGGGGGGTGGGAGGGGCTGGGAGGGTTGGGAGCAGTCCACTCCTAGGGTGCCCATCCTGGGAGCCCCTTGGTCTGCGGGCGCGCGGGCTAGTCCGAGATGGGCCAGCGCAGCCTGTGGGGCCTGACGTGTCGCTTTCTCTGGAGATTGGGCTGTGCTTGAACTTGAGGAGCCTGCCTTGGTACGTCCAGGCCGACCCCGATACCTTCTTCCCACGCTGCTACAGCCTCTGCGCTGAGAGCGAGAAGCAGGCATTCCTGGGTAAGTGGCAGGCAGCCTGTGCAACGAAACCACAGGACCTCTGGGCGACCTCTAGGCCACCCCTGCTCGCGCTGCAGGACCTGGGAGGGAGACGGATGAGCCTTCACCGCTGGGTTCAGGGCTGGGGGTTGGGGCTGGGGTATTGGCGGGTACCTGGTCCCATCTGGGGGGGTGTCCAGAAACGCCCACAGGCAGCACGGACAAGTGGGGAGCGGAGGCATTGGAGGCTGATGGAGCTCAGAGCTGGGTGACAGCAGCTTGGTGCTGATGGGGCACTGGGAGAGGCCAATGGGCGTCAGGGGTGGTGCTGGCATCCGCAGGCAGGCTGGAGACCACAGGCTCTGGTCTGGGACAAAGGGGATTCTACCAAGAGCCCACAGCAGAGAGAAGGCCAATGTCAGGGCAGGTGCGGAGGGGTCCGTTTAGGGGTGACCCGTGTTTACTGAGCACCCGATGTGGGGGGCCATGGAGATGTGCGTCTGCTCAGCACCCCAGCCCTGTGCCCTGATCCTACCCTGGGGCTCAAACAACAAGGCAGGGCGGTTGGGGCTGGAAGTGAGGCGTGCAGTGGAGGGCAGGGTGGGAGCAGGGGCCTGGTGAGGAGGGGCGCTGGGCAGAGGCCCGGGGGGAGGCGGAAGGGCCGAGGGGGGCGGGCTGGGGAGCTGCCAAGCCAGCCGGTGTGAGCAGTGTGCCCGAGTGTCCACAGGCAGAGGGGCAGGTGTGTGAGCTCAAAGGCGTTTGTTTCGATGGAGGAAGGGGGCTCCAGGGCCCTGGGGGCGGGGGCGAGGGACACAGCGCCTGCTGGGTGGGCAGCCTCAGCCGAGGTGAGGAAGGAGCAGAGTTGCACGAGAAGGTGCTGGAATCTCCTGCAGAGCTCGTCGGGGGCGCAGGCGAGAGCCTGGGTGGGCTGGGGAGCGGCCTTGTGGCTGGGCTCGCTCTCAGGGATGCTCGGAGCCAGCCGGGCTCCAAGCCCAGGTCTGCAGGACCCAGAGCTGCCTTCTGTGCTGGGTGGGCACTCAGGACCCCCAGCCATCCACACTGAAAGCTGTGGAAGCCGCCGTGTCTGGGGAGGTCCGGAGAGCCTCCGTGGTGGGGAGGGCCCTGGTGCTGTCAGCAGGGGTCCTTCTAGGAGGAAGGGCTGAGGACTTAGGGGCAGGAGGGGTGCGGGCGCCCGTGGGTGGTCCTCTGGAGGCGGGGGGG